CCTCCAGCAGCCCCAGAAGCACCTCCAGCAGCTCCAGCACCAGCAGCATGGCGACAGCGCAGAGTGTACCACTCACGAAGCTGCTGCGGAGAGAGGGGCTCCCGCCGTGACGGGACACCCAGAGGACCTCCAGACTCAGCACGCTCAGGCTCAGCACCCCCAGGCCCAGCACTCCCAGACTCAGCACCCCCAGGCTCAGCACCCCCAGGCTCCACACGCTCAGGCTCAGCTCCCCCAGGCTCCGTACCCTCAGACACAGCAACCCTAGGCCTAACACCCCCAGACCCTGCACCCGCAGGCTCAGCACCCCTAGCAGCACCTGAGTCGACAGCTACCTCGACAGGCTCGACAGGGTCTACCTGGGACACACCGGAGGGGGCAGGACCCTGAGGGGGGAGGGGGTCTACCGGAGGAGTACCTGGTGCTAGGAAGAGTGGCGCGGGGGGGAGAGAGGCAGTGCGGTAACCTTCCCCGTCCACCGCAGAGTAGGTGTGGTCTCCGGCAAGGAGACACGAGGCTGAAGGTTGATCTGATGCGCAGTGTACTGAACCGCGAACGGCCACAGAAAATGGGGAGCAGCCGCATGGATCGTGGACGTACGAGCGACATCCATGACCATGCCAATAAGGCGCTCAGCAATCCCATTTTGCTGTGGGGAGGCCGGAAGCGTGAACGTCTGGCGGATGCCCTCCGCACGACAGAAGGCCCTCAGAAGGTCGGAGGAAAACTCACCACCTCTGTCTGAGTGCAGATGCAGAACAGGAAGGTCCGAGCCGAAACTCTCGTTGAGCTGGCGACGGGTACTGCGGATCCAGTCGATCAACACCTCAGTGACCTCACCCTTGCTGCGCAAGGGGAAGACTGTGGTGTAACGCGAGTAGTCGTCTACGACCAGCAGGAAGTAACGCTCGTGACCCTGTCCACGGACGCGGGCTGGGCCCCACACGTCCATGTGAAGAGTCTGCAGGGGAGCCTCTGTCGGAGGGAACTCGGAGGAGTGAGGAGCGACGCGCTGCCGGCCCTCGACACAAGGAACACAGGTAGGGGCAGGCCTCGGAGGAAGGGGAGGTAGGGACCAGGGGAGACCAGAGACAAGGGTACGGGAGGCCATACCTCGAAGACGAGGCAGGGAGGGGTGACCAAAGGAGAGTCTCGTGTGATAGAGGACGACACGAGCAGGGGGCAGGCACTGGACTAGACCTGGACGCGGCAGAAAACACCTGACTAGATGCGTTTACCTGACCAGACGCAGCAACCGGAGGAGACGCGGTAGTCAGTTTGTACAGTCTCGACCCAGGCCGATGGGTGAACGTGGCCAGGTGGCGGCCCGTCTGAGAGCAAGTGCAATGGGTCACACGCTGACCTCCAGGGGTGAACTGGTCAACCCACGCGTCCTGGAGGTCAGCTCCACTCACCAAGTTCGTAGAGAACGAGGGGAGGTGGAGTCCCGACAGCAAGCCCGACGGGGCCGCAGGACACGGTAGAACCGTGGAAGAGTGCGCAAGGACTGGGCCCCCAGAGGGGTCAGCCAGGGAGACTGCGACAGGCCGACTGAGCGGCGTGAGTGTGGTGCTGTCGCGAAAGAAAGAGCGCGAAACACCAGAGTCAAGTGTGAAAGTGTGCAAGGCCTCAGTAGGTGCAGTACCAGAGAGAGCAGACTCACCAGCACCTGGAGCAGCAGACTCACTAGTACCTGGAGCAGCAGACTCACTAGCACCTAGAGGAGCAGCCTCAATGTCCGGGTCGGGCGGAACACACAGGTAACAGTCACCCTCAGCACTATCAGTCACAGCATACATGGCAGCAAGGATAGCATCAAAATCAAGATAAAAGATAGCAACATTCTGCTTAAGCAGATCACCCCAGCGAGGGAGCTCAACAGCGTCAGGAAACTGGGCGTGCCAGGCGTCAGTCAGGCAACCGAAGCAGCGGTGCGCAGTGTGTGGCAGCCCGCACGTCTCCCCACGACGCCCGCCGGTGCGAAGAACGTAAGTGCAGGGACCAACCCCCCCAGACCTCCCACGCCCAGCGTACCACTCACGAAGCTGCTGGGCTGACGGGGTCTCACGGGAACGCGGCTGCTGCTTGCGCTGGCTACCACCAAGGCCTCCACACTGTGCGGCTCCACCTCGACCAGCACCACCGCCGCCGCCACCTCCACCACCGCTGCCGCTGCCTCCACCGCCGCTGCCGCTGCCTCCACCACCCCCACCGCCGCCACCGAAGCCCCCACTCCCTCCACCACCCCCACCTCCACCGCCACCCCCTCCGCCTCCTCCACCGCCTCCACCGCCGCCCCCACTGTCCCCTCCACCACCCTTGCCCCCCTTACCCTTGCTGTTGCGGCGCCGTCCACTAGGAGCAGACGCAGCCCCGACCTCCGCTGTGCCAACGAGGTTGACAGCAGCAGCAAAAGCAACAGAGGGGAGAAGGGGGACAGGGGAACACCCCTCAAAGAACGAGGCGCGAGGGTCGCCGCGAGAAGCACCTACAGCTAAGATACTCTTCTCAGCTGCAGTGAGGCGCTCCTCTAGCAGGTCGACGGTGAGCTCGGTGGGGCAAAGGGAGAGAAAGTGGTCCCTGGCTGAAGCAAGGGAGTCAGGGAGGCGGGTGACTAGGTAGTAAAGGGTGATGTACATGGGGGGGGGGGGTTCTTGGCACAGAACTCAGTGGGAAGCGCAGCTCAGTAGCGGGCGTCACTAGTGCGGAGGTGGGCAATGAGGTCAGCGACTGTGGCAAAGGCGGCAAGGTTAGGGAAAAGGTACGGCAGCATGAGGCGGCTGAGGGCAGCAGTGGCAGGGGAGGAGTAGCGCGCTACGACAGCGTCGTACAAAGACTGAGCAGTCTTGTACTGGCCAAAATGCGCGCGCTCAGCAGACGGCAGGTGACTACGAACAGCAAGGCGAGCAACAGCGTCAAAAGTGGTCCACTGCGAGCGAACCGTACTGACAGCAGTGGCAGCAGGTGCAGTAGAGACACCGGATGTGTGATCAAAAAGGGATACCCCATCCCTAGAGTCACACTGAAGAAAGAGCTGCAGGTCGTCAATCCACACGTCAAAGTCAACTGCACGCCCCTCGGCATCAAAGGTGAGAACAGTAGGGCTAGCCATAGTAGCAGTAACAGCAGTAGCAGCAGTAGTAGCAGTAGCAGCAGTAGCAGCAGTAGCAGCAGTGGCAGCAGAAGCAGTGCAAGCAGAAGGGCAGCGCGGCTCGGCAGGGTGGCGCGGCTCGGTAGTGCGGCGCGGCTCGGCTGGGCGGCGCGGCTTGGCAGGGCGGCGCGGCTCGGTTCCTGGCGGCGCGGCGCGGCAGCAGGCGGCGCGGGTGCTTACCAGGGGCGGGTGCAGGGCAGGGCCGCAGCTGGCGGTTTAGGTCAGGGCCGCGACCGGGGCGGCAGCAGGGCAGGGCCGCGACAAGGGCGGCTGCAGGGAAGAGCCGCGACTGGGGCGGCAGTAGGGCAGGGCCGCGGCAGGGCGGCTGCAGGGCAGAGGCCGCGACTGGGGCGGCAGTAGGGCAGGGACGCAACGGGCGGCTAAGGCAGGGCCGCGACTGGGGCGGCAGCAGGACAGGGCCGCGACAGGGGCGGCTGCAGGGCAGGGCCGCAACTGGGCGGCTGCAGGGCAGAGGCCGCGACAGGGCGGCTGCAGGGCAGAGGCCGCGACGGGCGGCGAAGGCAGGGCCGCGACTGGGATGGGCCAGCGACGGGCGGCGACGGGCCGGCGACGGGCGGCAGCGGGCCGGGACGGGCCGGGACGGGCCAGCAACGGGCGGCTAAGGCAGGGCCGCGACGGGCCAGCGAAGGCAGGGCCGCGACGGGCCGTACTGGGGCAAGGCGCGAGGCCCGCTTCGGGCAGGGCGCGAGGCGCGCTTCGGGCAGGGCAGGAAAAAAATTCGTGGTGGGCCCTAAAAAACACGTTCCCATTAGGGAACCTGCTCAGAATACCATGTCAGAATAGTGAACGAATGAATGACTGAACTAGCAAGCAGATGGGTACAAGTAGGAAACCTAAAAGAGTTGTACCCTATATGAACTACCCCACTACAGCCTAGATAGACTGTAGCATATAAGTTTGACTAGAAGTGCTGCACCCCATAAGGAGTGCCCCACTGTAGCCTACAAGATTGTACTTTGACATCGCGAACAGTGGCGGGAGTCGTAGTCGAGGCGAGTGTCGCGAGCGGGTAACGTTTCACTGTTGGGTGCCGATGGCGGGAATGGTCTTGTACGCGGTAAGCAGGGGCGCGAAGTATGGAAAAGGGGTTTTCCTTACATTTCCACAAGATTCCTTGACAGAAAATCCAGTGAAATAAACAGATGTTATAGAATATGTTTTTTCTTCATTTTTGCCAATAGTGGCCAAAATCATTGAAGTATCGTATTATCCCGGATAGAAGCGCACCTGCGCTTATAATAAAGCAGAGTTTTTTAGGGGGGTGCGCTTATAATTGAGTCATTTTTATAAGCGCATGCGCTTATATAATGACATATACGAATTTATAAATTTAAGACACCAAATTGTATGTTTCACTCTTGCCATTTCAACCGGGTCGAAAATTTTCGCGTCACAATGTAGAATCTCCTACAAGCGATTCTCTTCCAGCACACATAAGCCAAGATGCGACACTTTGCAGTGCAGTCATGCCAGCACATCCTGACTGGACACACAGCCAGTCAGGTCTTGGAGAGTCAAACTCAGCGAAAATGAGATTGTACTCGCTTCAAAATTGAATCTCGCTACCGTTTCTAACAGAAATTTTAATTTAAAATTGTACATGCGCTTATAATAAGTAATGTTTTCACATGGGGTGCACTTATAATTGAGGATCGGCCATAAGCGCATTGCTCCAGATAAAAGCGCATGCGCTCATAATAGGCCTGCGCTTCTATCCGGGGTGATACGGTAATGGAAGTCATGTTGAAATAATATCACAGAATAGTTCTAAAAGATGTGTCACATCATGCAGCCTGTTTGCAGCCCAGAAAAATCTCAAGGAGCCTCTTTAGGCGGTGGCGGTGGCAGCAACCTAATGAGGGCATTGTACAGTGATTGCGCGTATATATCTACACCTCCCGGGAAGCAATAATGCAAGCAATCAGTTTTGTTCCTTTCCGGGCTGAAACCATGATGCCCATCTGCCCTCAAGGCCAGCATTTCTTCCACATCCAAATACACCCCACCGACCTGCTCCACCAATCCTTTAGCCAGCCGATTTTGCTCGGGTAAATCCCTCCAGTAATACGGCAAGCTCTCCGTCGGCTGCCGCTTCTCCAGCGGGCGGTCAAAATTTTCGCAGTCGTTGTGACCCGGGGGGGTGTTCCGGTAAATAATGAGTTTACCCGGGAAATAATACCGCACGAAGCGCAGGGCGTTTTGTACACCCGAGACAAAGAGGGGCGTCGGGGTCCAGTGCTGGCCTCTATTTAAAACGATGATGTCTGCAGAGGGGATGTCTGCAACGCCCGGTTGAGCCCACGGCATGCGGTCGAAATTGGGTCCCCGGGAATCGAAGATGGAAATATGGTCGTTGCGAAGGTAGTCTACCCTTAGGCCCGGGCAGGTTGAAGAGTTGAAGGTGTACCTGGGGTGGGGAGGGAGGGGGGATGGAGAAGAACAATGAAATGTGATGGTTGCGAAGGTAGTCTACCCTCAGGCTGGGGCAGGCTGAGGAGTTGAAGGTGTACCTGCGGTGTGTGGGGGGGAGTGAGGGGGGCCACTCACGATAACGCGACTCAGTATAAGTCGAATGTCCCACTATAAGGGGGCTCACCACTAGCAGAACCCGTGGGCCATCTTCTTAAGGTCCCCTCCCAGCACATCCACACATTGCTTCGGATGATCCTCATGCGACTCACTATAAGGCGACTCACTATAAGGGTGTGTGTGAAATTGTTTTAGGTTCGTAATTTAGGTCGAACTTTAGCTGGTTACCGTTTACGCCAATGTCGCCGAAACGGTTTGGCGAAGAGCACTATAAATCGAAAACACACAAATGCGACCAACAAAAAGTGAACAAGGCTCGAATCTACACACGAACGTGAGAGTGCACGATGAACCGAACATGTGCAATTTTGGGCACGCAAGAGAAGTTGGCGAATAGCACGATTTGTTCGTGAACCAATGAACGCACCACCGAAACCAGGTACAAAATTCGTCTCGCAGAGCTAGACGAAACCAGGTAACCTAAATAACCTACGGGCGGCTCGGCTCACCCCTTATAAGGTCGAACGTGCAAATTCGAACTTGGGTGTGTGGTTGTGCTTCAACCGTTTGCGAGACACGCGGCTTGAACTTTGCCAACAACGGAAGTCATATTTTGTTCACCTCATGTTCAAATGCTACATTCGATTTTAAAACGTAAACTTATACAAAAAACAAATTCACACACGCCCTAAGGAGACTCACTAAAAGACGACTCACTATAAGGAGACTCACTAAAAGACGACTCACTATAAGGTGAATCAATATAAGGCAACTCAGTATAAGGCGACTCACTATAAGACAACTCACTATAAGACGACTCACGATAAGGTGACTCACTATAAGGCAACTCACTACTGGCAGAACTTGTTGGCCATCTCCTCAGGGTCCCCTCCCAGCACACCCACACATCGCTTCGGGTGATCCTCAGGCAACATGCTATAAGGCGACTCACTATAAGGTGACTCACTATAAGGCGTCTCACTATAAGGAGACTCACTATAAGATGGTTCACTTAAGGCGACTCACAATAAGGCGACTCACTATAAGGCGATCCACTATAAGGCGATTCACCATAAGGCGACTCCCTATAAGGTGACTCGCTAGAAGGCAACTCACCATTGGCAGAACTCGTGAGCCATCTTCTCAGGGTCCCCTCCCAGCACGCCCACACATTGCTTCGGATGATCCTCAGGCGACTCACTAGAAAGCGACTCACTATAAGGCAACTCATTTAAGGCGACTCACTATAAGACAACTCACTATAAGGCGAATAAGGCAACTCACTCTAAGGCGACTCAGTATAAGGCAGCTCGCTATAAGGCAACTCACCACAGGCAGAACTCGTGGGCTATCTTCTCAGTGTCCCCTCCCAACACGTCCACACATCGCTTCGGATGATCCTCAAGGCGACTCCCTATAAGCTGACTCAATATAAAGCGTCTCACTATAAGGAGACTCACTATAAGACGACTTACTATAAGGCGACTCACTGTAAGGCAACTCACCACTGGAAAAACTTGAGGGCCATCTTCTCAAGGTCCCCTCCCATGCTTCCACACATTGCTTCGGATGATCCTCAGGCAACTCGCTATAAGGCGACTCACTATAAGGCGACTCACTATAAGGCATCTCACTATAAAGAGACTCATTATAAGGCGACTCATTATAAGGCGACTCACCATAAGGTGACTCGTTATAAAGCAACTCACCACTGGCAGAACTCGTGGGCCATCTTCTCAGGGTCCGCTCCCAACACATCCACACATAGCTTCGGATGATCCTTAGGCGACTCACTATAACGCGATTCACTATAAGGCGACTCATTATAAGGTGACTCACTATAAGGTGACTCGTTACAAGGCAACTCACCACTGGAGGAACTCGTGGGCCATCTTCTCAGGGTCCTCTCCCAACATGTCCACACATCGCTTCAGATTAATCCTCAGGCGACTTATAAGGCAACTCACTATAAGGCGACTCACTATACGACGACTCACTGTAAGACGACTCACTATAAGGTGATTCAGTATAAGGCGACTCACTATAAGGCGACTCACTATAAGGTGACTCGCTATAAGGCAACTCACCACTGGCAGAACTCGTGGGCCATCTTCTGGGGGTCCCCTCACAGCACGTCCACACACTGCTTCGGGTGATCCTCCAGTTTCACCATCTCCCATGCAGGCTTCTTCCTATCCCATGCCATCAGGTTCAGAAAGACTCTACCATCTGGAACTGCTTCAAGTGGCTATAAAGCAACTCTCTATAAGGGGACTTGCTATAAGGCAACTCTCTATAAGGCGACTCGCTATAAGGCGACTCTCTATAAGGTGACTCGCTATAACGGGACTCGCTCGCTATAAGAAGACTCACCACTGGTAGAACTCGTGGGCCATCTTCTCAGGGTACCCTCCTAGCACATCAACACATGGCTTCGGGTGATCCTCCAACTTCACCATCTCCTATGCCGGCTTCTTCCTGTCCCAAGCCATGAGGTTGAGAAGAGACTCACTACAATACGACTCACTATAGGCGACTCACCACTGGCAAAATTCATGAGCCATCTTCTCAGAGTCCCCTCCTAGCACATCCACACATCGCTTCGGGTGATCCTCTAGTTTCACCATCTCCCATGCCGGCTTCTTCCTGTCCCACGCCATCAGGTTCAGGAAAGACTCTACCATCTGATACTGCTTCGAATCCCCCACTACCAGGATCCGCCGGCCCCGCCCCACCCGCTCGCAGAATACTGAAGCGTTGAAGGGCAGCCAGGGCTGTGATAGATCGACTGCTGCTGCAGCTGCCGCTGCTTCGGCTGCTCTTCTTGCTTCCGCCGTTCCATCCGTCTCCAACCGAGCCTTTTCAAGTCGTGCCTTAGCCGATTGCTCGAAGGCTTTAATATCCTCGGGCACTTGAGGCGCCGGGCATGTGGAAGGCCCAACCACCCACTCGTACTTCACCCCCTCCCGCACCGTCCACCCCGCCTCACTCGCCCCTGGGCTCATGGCATAAGCATCAGCATACTTAGCATATGCCATGCCAGTAGGGTGTGATTCGAGGTATCTTCTATCACACATGTTGCTTACCCCGCGGTAATCCCAAGGGAGGGTGCGGGGTTTAGGGTTTCGGACCCACTTGCCCTTGTTGCCGACACACGTCGCCCAGTTTTTGAAAAGTTTCACCTGCGCCTGCCCATGGACGAGGGATCCTGGGATGGAATTTGTTCTCAGGGCAGCCCGTTCTTCCTGGCTGCCTCCGGGCAGCGCCGGGCTGAAAAAAACTTCGGTTGAGAGAAGCTGCATGAGGAGGGTCAGTGCGAGTCTATCGCAGAGGAGTTTTTCGGGCTGCCCGGGAAGATTTCGGTATTTGCAGAAGAGAGTGTGGTGGCGGAGGGAGAGGGAGTGAGAGAGAGCGCGGTGGGAGGAGGAGGGATGGGAGGAAGGTTGTATCTCGAGCACGACAGCAGCAGGCGGCATAAAGAGAATGAAGTCTAGAGCCTCCCCTGGTGGCGAAATGAGGAGCAGCGTGCGAGAGAAGAGAGCTCGGGCTGTTGGGAGGGGAAGGGGAGGAGGGGGGGGAAGGGGTTGGGGAGATGGGGAAGGTGGATGGGTGATTGTGAGCGAGGCATGAAGAGAATCAAGTCGAGAGCCTCCCCTGGCGGCGAGATGAGGAGCAGCATGCGCGAAAAGAGAGCCCTGGCTGTTGGGCGGGGAAGGGTGGGAGAGGTTGGGAGGAGGTAGGATGGGGGAGGGAGGAAAACGAAGTTTGGTACTTTAGTTGGTTGGTACGGCGATAAGGAAAGTGCAAACGACAAGAGCCCGGGCTGTTGTTTACAATGATTCAAGGGGTTTGTGGATGGACGTACGTGGACGGATATGAGGCACTCAAACAAAATATGAACATGCAATATGAGCTATAAAGACTGGGATATTCTTTTGGCGCCCAACAGCATCCCGCACACACAACCCACCCAAGGCGCCCCCAAGACCCCCCTATTCCCCCAACGCCCCTCACAGCCCCTTCCAGCCCCTCAAATATAAGACCATGAAATTTTGTTATTTCGTGAACAACAGCATCCCGCACAGCACACACAACCCACACACACCACACCCACACACACCACACCCACACACACCACACCCACACACACAGCATCCGCGCACGCACATACCGGACCCCCTTCTTCTTTCATCCCCTTCTTTCAAAGTGTCTCTTTTCCGGTATGAAGAAAAAAGACCACTCCCAGATTCTTTCCAGCTTCCTCGCTCACCTTCCTCCACGCCCATGCCTCCTCGAAAGTACACCACCCGGCCATGCCACCAGTTATCTTGAATCATCTCATCCACCATCTCCTCCATTCTATCCAATAGCATCGCGCCAGGTGGCACCGCCACCACCACCACCCAGTCCTCCCCAACCATCTTCCTCACCCCCGCGAATCCATCCCCGTCCACGTCACCCGCCACCCCTCCTCCAGCAGCTGCCACGTCAGCCGCCACGTCAGCAGAGACAGGGCCACCAGGTGGCGGGAGCGGGACAGGTGGCGGGCGGCGGAGCGTCCAGTTGGCGTAGAAGAGGGGGAGACCCGCGGGGGGGAGGAGGTGGTGAGAGCGCAGCGAGGAGAGGAGCGCTGGGGAGGGACGGTTGCAGCGCTGGAAGCAGGGCTGGGGCGCATGGGGGGGGAGGGGGGGAACGTGGGGGAGAGAGGGGAGGTGGGAAGGCGAAGAAATTGAAAGGGGAGAGTTGGCATGTTTGTGAGCGAAGTGCCAAGTACAACATCCGACGTACCAGAATCAGTCTGTGGGCGAAGTGCAGGTGGGTTGGTACGTTAAGCTGAGTTGGGATCTGAGTGTGAGTCGAATCTCTTGGAGGCGCCTCAACAAAAGGCTTGCGTTAAGATCAAGTCACATACATCCGACGTACCAGAATCAGTCTTTGGGCGAAGTGCAGGTGGGCTGGCTCGTCAGGCTGAGGCAGCAGCGTGGCCTGGAGTGGATGACTGCCCAAGAAATGGGGTGCTAGCATGTGAAGCCACTGGTGGGGTGGGGTGGAATGGGGTGGAGTGGGGTGGGGTGGGGTGGGGTGGAGTAGAATGGAAGGAAGGTGTTTTGAGGCGCCTCAAAACTCGTCGGGCTGAGGCAGCAGGGTGGCTTGGAGTGGATGGCTCCCCAGAAAATGGGGGGCTAGCATGTGCAGCCACTGGTGGTGGGGAGGGGTGGAAGAATGGGTGAGGAAGGGGTAAGGAAATGAAGGACAAGGGATGGAAGGACATAAGGGATGTAAGGATGGGCAAGGGACGTAAGGGAAGGTAAGAAAGGGAGGCCATGTGATGTGAGAATCGATGAGGCGCGCCCCGTCGACCAACCAAGTTGGAAGAAAAGGAGCGAGGGGAGGGGGGGGGGGAGAGGGAGATAATGCACGGAGTGGTGGATGAGAAGGGCATAGACAGGAGAGCCAGCGGCGGAGGAGGAGGAGGAGGAAGTACGTGTGTTGGAGGGGAGAGGAGGGGTGCGAGGGGGAGGACGAGAGGGAGGTGATGCACTAGGTGGTGGATGAGAGGGGCGCGTAGGGGAGAGCTGGAGGAGAAGAGGGAGCAAGGAGCTAGAGAGAGGGGACGAATATCCTGCTGGGCTCACCTTGCGATCTTGCACGAGGAATCGAGCCCCTTGGGCCATGAGGCTTGGAAGGAGAGGAGCGAGAGGGAGGAAGAGAGGGAGGTGATGCACTAGGTGGTGGATGAGAGGGGCGTGGGGGAGATAGAAAGAGGAGGAGGAGGGGGAGGAGGAGGAGTCAGTGGGAGGAGGGACGGCTAGGTTGATGGCGAGGGGATGCTCTACGACTGGTGTTGATGCCGGGAATGTGAAGGGCTGAACTGGCGTGCAGTCATGCACGCACATGCATAGCGGCATGCATTCACACATGCACATGCAATTACACATGCAAGTGTACATGCATTCACAAACACACATGCGGTCATACATGCAATCACATCTGCAATCACACTTGCACATGCGTAACCACGTGCTTTCACACATGATCGCATCGAACGCATTCAATCAGATGCATGCACACGAGCACAGACATGCACACAAGCATTTCACACGCACACAAGCATTTCACATGCACACAAGCATTTCACATGCACACAAGCATTTCACATGCACACAAGCATTTCACATGCACACAAGCATTTCACATGCACACAAGCATTTCACATGCACACAAGCATTTCACATGCACACAAGCATTTCACATGCACACAAGCATTTCACATGCACACAAGCATTTCACATGCACACAAGCATTTCACATGCACACAAGCATTTCACACGCACACAAGCATTTCACATGCACACGGGCACAGATGGGAAAGGGGGGATTGAGGGGAAAGGAGAGTATGAGAGCGGGAAGGGGGGAGTAGAAAGGAGCCACGGCTAAGCCAATGGGAATTTGGTCAACACAGGCAGGCGATCACAGAGCCACATCTCACCGCTCTGAATCGCACCTCACTGCACCAAACCACATCTCACCTCACTGAGCGCCCTCCTCCTGCCGCACCCGCCCGGCCAGAAGAGGTGAGAGGCGTTGAAGACCCGCCCCTGCCCGTCCACCCACACGCCCCTCAACTCCACCACCCGCCCCGCCCACCCCCTCCCCCCCCCATACCGCACCCGTTTCCCCACCCCCTTCCCCTTTTCCCCAACCACCTCCTCCGCCTCCTCCTCCTCTTCACCATCCCCTTCCCCTTCTTCCCCCTCCTGTCCCCCCTCCTCCTCTCCCCGTTCCCATGCTTGCAAAGCGTCGTCTGACGCAATAGCAGTTGAGCAATTGGGGAGAATAATCATGCCTTGCATACACTCCCAAGGCTTGAACGCCGGGCAGCTGAAAGTTTTTGTTTGTGAAGTTGCCTTGGTTTTTGAACCGAGTGCTGACCGCCTTTTCGAGCCCAGGAGCTTCCTTTTCGCTGCCCTGTTTTCCCCGCTATCATTTGCCTGCTCATCCACGAAATCCGGGTTCCAGCATGTTTGTATACCCTGCCCGCACTCGGAAAATTCAGGGCAAATTGCGCCTTTACACCCCAAATTCGGCAACGGCACCTGCTCCTTCCTGTTCTTGATTCCCTTGTCGCCCCCCTCCTCGTCGCTAACCGCATCTATTCCCGACAATTCCGGGAAAAAACTCAGGCTAACCGGTGCCAGCTGGATGCGTCTGATTGGCTGCTCGAGGCGACGGATCTCACGCAATCTGCGATCGTCGCGAAGCTGAGATCGTCGCACAGGCGTCGCATCGTCGCGAAGCTGCGACGGCGACGCAAGATTTTTCCACGCATGGGAAAATTGCTCCGCGCCCTCTTGATTTCTCCTGTCTGGCCATGCGACGGAACCTGTCGCGCGGCGTCGCGAAGAATGGAAAGAAAATTCGCCTGGTGACGGCACGTCGGCTGCGACAGTGCCGAATGTGACGCTGGCGACAGCAAGAATGGCGACTGCGACAAGGGGGACGCTGAATTGGGGGAGGAAGGCAGAGCGGCGAGGTAGAGTGGCACGGCACAAACTACGCCGAGGCATTTCAGGACGTGATCGGTCAATGAACGTCGCAGCAGCCGATGGACGACCCGATATGTGCCACGTGGAACTCATGATCTTCTAGCCAACTTTCCTATGAATCAGAAAACCATTATTGGTGGACAATTCACAAAAGCGTTCAGGGGAGAAAACGGATCGTCTGATGCCTAAGGGCGTGTAAAATCCCCGTGCAAGTGCGAAATCGGGGTTTGGCCGATTTTTCGTCGACCATGTGGTCGACATTTCTTTCGCGAAAGTCGACTTGGTGGCCGAATTCGAGTCGTCCAAATTTCAGCCACCATTTGCAGGTTTGCGGATTTTACAACTTTGGTGGCCAATTTGCAGGCCGGTTCGGAAAAGTTGTAAAATTTGGAGTTACTACAGTAGTTGGGTATGTGCGACGGGGTCGCACATTTAACAGCGATATTTCTCATTTTGACAATATAAAAAAATCTGTCGTTCGGCGATACCATGCGACGTCGTAGGCGTTTGTCGCACTCTGTGTCGACTACTTGGCCGTTTTGGTGTCGACTCGGCGTCTTTTTCGTGTCGACTTTTTAAGCGGCCATCAAATTCGTTTTTGTTTTTGCGATATTTGCGACTGTCTCCACTAGACTTACGACTATCGCTGGCTGGTTACCTTCACAGAAACGGCCCGACGGATTGTGGCCGAATTTTTTGAGTTCCCGATTTTACACGCCCTAAAAGGTGAAAGATGATGGCATTGAGGGGGAATCAACAACGCAATGAACATGACAACACTTGAAACTCAGCAGCGCTTTAGCGCAGCTTAGGCCACAGCCATGAATGGAAGAGAAACGACCACCACCGACCTTGTCGAGCAACAACCACCACCAAACACAGAGAAAATGACTGAAGGTACGATTTGCTCCGTACCCTACCCAACCGTTCCGGAATGCTGTATTTTACCGCTCTACTCAACTTGTATTTCTTGATCGTTGTTCACATAATTACACAACTTTTCCAGAATTTCTCTGTTTACAATACTCAGACTTGTTCTAGAGCAGATCCTAGGCTTCTTTACTCAGACTCCAGAGAAAACTTCTTGCCAACGTAGTCCACCATGTCATTAACTGCAATTGTTATAACCTTCATCGGTTTCCACAGCTTTTTTAATAGGTTTATAGCCAGTTCCGTGTCCTCATTGTTATCCCCAAGCAGCATACCCTGCACAGAAAATGTATGCGTCACAGAAAAATGAAGAGATACCATTTTCTTCAGCATAATCATCTACCGTATGGCCCCGGATATAGGCGCCGTCCGATTAAGAGCGCCGGCGCTTCTATCTGGAGCATGGCGCTTATGGTCGGAACTCGATTATAAGCGCCCCCCCTCTAGTGGGTGTACTTATTATAAGCGCACCTTTTCACGTTGTGGAGAACTCATTACAAAAAAAACATCTCTAATTAACACTAAACATGAGCATGCTAACTTTACACCTACAACATCATCACTGACATTTTTATCTAGCTACATATTGCAAAGTTTAGCATCTCTACCTAGAAAATCTACTCCTCGTCGGATTCTGGCTCCTGGCAGTTGTTGCCAAAGAAGCCATCGGCGATGATGGAGTCATCTATCAGATATATATGACTTAGCCTATGTAGGCTGTAGTGGGATAGACACTAAGGGGTACAGGTTTCATATTTGTATCTCACACTTTCCTAGTTCATTCATTCCTATTCTTTCACATGGTATAGAGCAGGTTCCCTAGTGGAACTGTTCCTTCCGATGGGCCCACCTTATTTTTTTTTTTCCTGCCCGAAGCGCTCTTTGCGCCCTGCCCTAGTCTTTCGCGGCCCCTTAGCGGCCTGCCCTGCCCTTTGCGGCACCTTACGCGGCCTGCCCTCCCCTTTCGCGGCCCCTTACGTGGCCCCTTTCGAGGCCCCCCTACGCGGCCCCCCCCTACGCGCCCCCCCCCCTACGCGGCCCCGACCCTGTCCCAACCCCGTCGCGGCCCCTTACGCGGCCCCCTACGTGTGAGAATCAACAGGAGTGAATGAACTAGGAAAGTGTCAGGTACAAATACGAAGACCTGTACCCCTTAGTGTCTACCCCACTACAGCCTACACAGGCTAAGTCATATATATCTGACACACCCCCATAGGCAAAGTGGGGGAGAACTAGGGGTCACAAGACCAGTCAAGTAAAGCAAAGCAAAGCAAGCTCAGGGTGGATCACAAAGTCACCACACATTCCGAGCACAGGTTCAAATGCCACAAGGCCAGTTCACATGCAAGTTTATATATATAAAGGTAAACAAGCAAGGGCAGGTATATATAGATCACAGTACAAGTAGAGTCAAGAGGTAAGCAAGTGAGACAAAGTAGGCACAAGACCTAGCATAGTACAGAAGCGCTGATGATCACAAGGCTGAAGCGCCTTGGTGAAGATATCAGCAGTGTTGGCCTGAGAGGCCACGTAAGCAAGGCGCAGCTGACCACGCTGCTGCAGCTCACGAGCAAGGAAGTAGCGAAGAGCAATGTGCTTCGTTCTGTGCTCCAGTCTGTGCTCCCGACACAAGGCCAGCATGGCCTTGTTGTCTACGTACAGAACTGGAGGAGAACGAGGCGGCTCTCCCAGGTCAGTCAGCAGGTAGGTGAGCCAGCGTAACTCCTGTGCAGCCATGGCCCCTGCGTAGATCTCAGCCTCACAGCTGGAGCTGAGAACAGAAGACGAGCGGGTAGACCGCCACGAAACAGAGCCGGAACCAAGGCTGAAGGTGTAACCCTGTGACGACCGCTGCGTAGCCAGGTCGTCAACCCAAGATGCGTCTGCGTGACCAGTGAGGACCACAGGACTCCGCCCTCCAAGCACTAGCCCCAAGCCCGAAGTACTGCACAAGTAGCGCAACACCCTCTTCGCTGCAGCCATGTGCTCTGGTCGGTGTCTTCCAGGAGCAACATAGCGTGCCAAGATGCTCAGAGGGTATGCTAGGTCAGGTCGAGTGCAGGTCATCAGGTACATGAGGCAGCCAACAAGCTCTGGGTACGGGCCACTCGGCTCTACGGACTCATCCGAAGGCAGAGCTGAGAGCGAGTGGCGAGTAGACAGAGGAGTGGCCTGAGGCGAGGAGTACGTGAAGTCGAAGCGCTGAAGGACCTGCTGCACCATGTGTGACTGAGTCAGGGTAATGGTGCGCCGTGCTCTGTCCCGAGTGATCTGCAAGCCAAGATAGCTGCGCAGTTCACCCAGGTCTGTGCACGTGTGTCTCTTCTGCAGCTCGGACTTCACGTTGGCGAGTCCAGCAGTGTCAGCCGTAGCAAAGACCAAGCCGTCGA